AGTTTGGGGCCCAGGAATCGAAGTGACATGTAATCAATTCYAGTAACTTCCCAGYAGACTCCGAATATTACGGGATCACACCGCATAACAGCAAGCCTTATCTTCTCCCCGCCCGGACCGGGCGGTGACAATAAGGTTCATTGATTGATATGTTACTCCCTGACTAAAGCGGAAATGGATCTCGTCCATTTAGGCCGTAGATCTCGGAACTGTTTCGGGAAACCTGCGATACCTCAGCTATATAAAGGCATCAATCCCTCCATGGTCCAGATATGCGCGATTACTTGCATCCAAGCTCTCTAGCACTCAAATTGTAGCTCACAACCACAACAGAATACTGACTTAAGCATTGGAGCGACCTCCCCGGATCATCCACCCCGGTCACTCTGATCTCTATTTTACAGTTTGCTCCAACTCATCMTTCGAGTACGTCCAGGCAACCCTCCAACTAGGAGCTTTCAGATCACTCATCATCAGATAATAAGCAACCAAATGTTCACTTTGTTTTCCTCAAGGGTGCTACTCCTACGGTACATTTGGTGTGCTCACAATAATGTAATCTTCAAGGCAAAGTTCAAAATATCGATCRGTACGCTTTTTTTTTTGTTWTTTTATTATTTTTTTGAATCTGATTCAGAGGGGCTGGTTTAAGGCCAGTCTACCCCATGAACCACTTGCCGACCGAAACACCCGTTATAGGGGTGTATTGGGAAGGCTCCGAATACRTATCRACTGATACGTATTAATACTTTGAACCTTGCTTCAAAGGTGCCGATTTCAATCCTTCATCAATCATCAACAGAGCAGAGGCACTATTCCATCACAATATTGATACCTCACATGTTTCTGACTCAGTTCAAGAAGCTTCAGTCCTAGTTGCACACCTTGGTAGTTGTACTTGGGCTACCTCCTCCACCTCAAGGGATGCTCAAACTAAATGTTGTTGGAGCAGTTGGCACTTCATGTTCTGGTGCAGGTTTCCTTTTGCGTGATCACGTTGGTGTCTGTCTTTTTGCCCGTGTTGTGCCATTTGATTCTCAACCCCCTTTTGTTACAGAAGCAATGTCAATAGTGGAAGGCCTGAAATTTGCAGCAGAGCTTGGTATTACTCACCTCTTAGTTGAAAGTGATGCTCTTTCTCTTGTTAGATGCTTAATTGTTGGTGGATTCCATAAAACCACGGTGGTCTATCAGCATTCTAGTGGCTGAATACAGACATCTATTGCTTGCTTCACTTTCAGAATATCTCGATATCCCGTGTTTACAGAGCTGCACACCGACTAGCAAAATTTTCTCTCTCTCTCTCTTTTGTTCTAGAATTCATACATGACCTTATATATTCCTTCTTTTCTTTTGAATGTCATTGAACAAGAGAATGTTATCGAGATTCGTTGCATGGATTAAGCCTTTTGGGGCATTCTAAAAAAAAGTGGCCTCATTTGTTTGCGGTGCAATTTCTTTTTTAATGGTGYCTTACAAAAATAGGTGTAAAAATATTATAATACACAATTACACAATCTGATTTAGTTTTGTTTTTGATGAGGGATAATTAAGTAWTTTGACCCTCCAATTCTTCTTATGACGCATCGATACTCCGACCTCGCTTAAAAGTAGCCCAATCAATTGGCTTACAAAATCCCTAAGGCAATCCATAGCTGCTCCGACTTGGGAAATTGGCAATTGAGGAGTCAGATGACTTCGGGGGCACTGACCTATGTGCATGTCTTCCCTTATACGCTCGCACCACTTAGCGTCTTTTGAAATGCACGACGACATATCGCCCACCTAGCAGTGACCCTACACTATTAGAAGGTACGTTCATATACATACTCGCACACTAGCTCCTTGTTATGATTCCCCGTTCTCTAGTTTTCGCTCACCTCGTCGGCTTGGTATATTAACTTAACTGTTGAAGTACCTTGCTTGGGTCATCCCCCCAGGTTTTCTTTCTTTCCATCACTAGATCTGTTCATGGATTGGGTCGGGTTGGGATGGGTTCAAGCCAGATTTTGTCTGTGTCAGTAAAAATATTCAGGCCCAAGCCCGGCCCAACCATCGGGCTTACATCTTGAGGTCGAGCCTGACCCTCATATAAAGCTTAAAGCTTTGGCTCAAACTTGAACCCGACTAATGAACAAGTCTAGTCGGTTTTTTGGGCTACCCGATCCATGAATAAGTCTAATTGTTACCAAAGGGTAAGGAAGCTCAAATTGGTGGATCCTTCTTTGGAGGCAACTTCAGAATGTCAAGCCCTTGATGGTGTCGATGGGAGTATAATCCCTAACTGCATTGGGACAGCCTTAGCTCAAGGAGGTAGCAGCATAGGTACAACCTCCTCGAAACTAGATATATTCAAATGCCATGTGGCAACATATATGGATGACACATGACATCTGAATATGGGGTTAATGACATATGAAATGCCATGTGACAACATATATAGATGCAACATGGCATCTAAAGGTAAATCAATGATGTTGCATGTTGTGCTGCATATATCTGTCATAATGCCATGTGCCATTCATGTATGATGCCATTTGGCATCTAAAATGACATCACATAGTATATATGCCATTAAATATGTTTAAACGCCATATGATGCACACGTGTCAATGAATATATTTATGTGTCTATGCTTCAACGTGGCAATATTCATATATGCTTCCACATGGTGAGATGTATACAATGTTCAGAGAATCAAATTGGGCATAGAACTAAAGAAGAGAGAGGTGGTTGAACCGTGATGATGTGACATATATATATATATATATATATATATATAATATTTTACAACATTTAATGTTACGGTGGATGGATGATAGGCTTCTTAATTTTTAAAACAAAGTTAAGCACTAATAATTTAAAAATGGATATAAATTTAAATAGAATGAATTGGCCAATTAAATACGATTCATGAAACAGACGCCACATACTTGAGATAAAGCATCGACGATGAATTGATGATGAATTATTACCAATAATAATTAAAAAAAAAAATAAGCAAATAAGAACAAAAAAAAACTCTTCGATTTTTTTCCCTTTCATATCAATGGAGGATTGACGTTATGGTTTTCAAAATCAGACCGGACCGGACAGTCAGATCGAAAAATCGGGAACTGGTCAGGTAACCAGTTCCGTTTTCCCCAAAATCATTGATTTTGATTAGCGAATCATCGAACTGGGTGATTAACTGTTCGAATGATTTTGACCATTTTTTATTTTTTTGTCAGAACGAGCCGAGCATTTGGTTTGAACGATGAAACCATTTGATCCGGTAACTGGACCCTAACCGATTCGATCACCAGGTCGGTTTTAAAAACCATGATTGACGCCACTTTAAACGAGTTATTCAACAAAGATAATGACTAATCTAACATCACACGATACCGAACCGAGATGTGAAGGACTAACTTCGATGCCTTCAACCATAATTCCATTCTTCCAATTGTTATTAGTAGCTTCCCATCGTCAATAATGAAATACTCCAATAATTCATTCTCCATTCGCCCGTCATCTCTGGAACGTGGGGAGAGATAAAAGCTTCTGACTTTCCTAATCGTTTTCGCTTTTTTTTATAATTGTTTTTTTTATTTTTTTGGTACTTAATTGTTTTCTTTTTGATATATCACTGGTCATATATCAAAGGCTGTGTGTACAGTCTATACTATTAGATTGGAAGAAGTCAATTACGGTGACTTTTGGTCTTGGGTCAGTTGGGTGGGAAGTCTCACATCCATGACAGTGAGGTAGAAAAGACAACAGAGATACAAACCAAAAGGCATTTGGATTATACATGGTGGAGCCCAGCCCATTGGTTTGGGAAGAGATTGGGATCTTCTTGCACTAATAATCAAAGGGCCCACCTGCAACTGGGTTAGGGGTTATGTGTTTGGGGATAAACTATGGGGCTATCCCCGTTGTGTAAATGGTCCCTTTGAGTAAAAAAATAAAAAATCTAGGGCTATAACTTGCCACGTGTGAACTTTCAGATTTTCTTTGGTTTGAACTTTGAAAGAAAAGGTAGGAAAAAGAATAATGAATAAGTGTACACTTTAGGAATTGGGATGCTAATAAATTGAACCGGTATGGAATTAGTTTCTCCCAATGTTTTAAAAAATGATACAGAACGGGAATCGTTTTGAACACTGGTTTTTGGGTCAATGATTTTACCATCCGGTTTGAATAGATGGTTCATTCTGACAAAAAATTTATAAATAAAAAAATGATCAAAAACCGTTAAATGGGTTAAATAGATTGATGGTTCGACCATCTGAATCAATGAATCATTGACCAATTCAATGGTTTTTGGTTAAGAACTAGATTTGGGATAAAACAGAATCGATTGCCTGAACAATTCTCGGGCCAAATGATCCAACCATCCAGGTCAATGGCGATTCAAAAACCGTTTAGATGATCTTATAGTTTAATTCGATATTGACCTGCAAATTTTCAGTGTATTTTTTATATTACCATTTGAAAAGCCAAGGATCAATAAAAACAAGACCCAAAACCAAAAACAACATGAAAATATATCTAAACATTGTTATAGGGTTAGTATTAAACCTGTTCGAGGACCTGATCGGTGCTGAGCTCGAGCCGGGCTTTACCACTTTATTAACTCCATTTGAAGTATTTACATCGGATTTAACTCCATTTGAAGAATTTCAATTACATGGGCCCGGGCTGAGATTTGAACAATTTCTGATTTCTCAACTTTCTCAACCCAACCCTCTGTCCCTCTCAAAAAGCATAGAAATTAAGCAACGAAACCGGATTTAAGTTCATTAAAGTATATTTTTTTCTGTAAGACTGCATTTGGATGGATGCCTACGTTTATTGCATCAATATGATGACTAATTACAAACACTAAAAAAATAAAACCAATATTCAAAAATTTTGGGTTTCTTTTTCATCAATGAAGGATGTGGCGCCACTTAAGTGTTAAGTCAGTTATTCAATCCGTGGAACACAAAATTTGACTTTACGGTACCGAGAGCGACTCAAGCTAGAGGCCTCACTTCAATGCCTTCAATAATAAGCCCTGTCTTCCAACGGTTGCTTACTTCCTTGAATGTCATTTTTATTTCTCCTTCATCCCCATCTTCAATAAAGAAATATCCCAATTCAATCTCCATCCACCCATCATCTCTGGAACGTGGGACAATGTCTGGGAGAGGCTCTTTTAGCTCCTCTGTTTCTGATGCAATAATATCTTCTTCTTCTTCATTATCATTATCATCATCTTCATCCTTCTTGTCATTATCATTGGAAACAATGCGAACACTATCCTCACGATCTTCTTCAACGTTGTCCTTTGGATCGATAACACCATCTTCATCTTCACCATTGTTGTCATTGGGTTTGAGATCACCATCCTCAGCTTCACTGTTGTCTTTGGGATTGGGAATGCTGTCTTCACCTTCATTGTTCTTGTTGTTGTACTCCTGATTTGGATTGACAGCACCATC